TTTATAATCACCCAGTTACGTTGTGACATTTGGTAGCACACAAAGTGTTCCTCCGGTAAACGGGAGTTGCACAATCTCATAGTCATAGGAACATGTATAAGTCATGAAGAAAGCAATAGCAACATACTAAACGATCGTGTGCTAAGCTAACGGAATGGGTCATGTCAATCACATCATTCTCCTAATAATGTGATCCCGTTAATCAAATGACAACACATGTCTATGGCCAGGAAACATAACCATCTTTGATCAACAAGCTAGTCAAGTAGAGGCACACTAGTGACACTTTGTTTGTCTATGTATTCACACATGTATTATGTTTCCGGTTAATACAATTCTAGCATGAATAATAAATATTTATCATGATATAAGGAAATAAATAATAACTCTATTATTGCCTCTAGGGCATATTTCCTTCACTGATTTGAACTAAGGGTCTCCTGTCAAACTTTTGAAAATTAGCGAGCTAAATGAGTTAGCTCGTGTAACTCGTTTGCTCGCTCGTTAAACTCGTTAATCTTAATGAGCAAAAAACTTTGCTCGGCTTGGGTCATTAACTAACGACCATGAGCCGAAAGGAGCCGAACTATCGAACACCCTCGCGAGCTTCGAGCTTTTCGTCCAGCCCTAGGGCCAATGCCCAAGTTGCCCCTCGTAAAGGAATTTTTCAGATCAAGGTACATGCCACTGGTTGTCAATGATACGGTAATTGTCTTCATTCCAAAACTCGCTGACCCAGCTTGCCTTACTGATTTCAGACCCATTAGTTTATGCAATGTTATCTACATGATTGTGGCCAAATGTTTGGTGAACAGACACCGTCCTCTCCTGCTTGAGATCATATCCCCTATCAGAGTGATTTTACTCTAGGTCGTCTGATCACAGATAATGCGTTGCTCGCCTTTTGAATACCTCCATTATATTCAGCATGATAAAAATCCACGGAATACTTATTGTGCTTATAACTAGACTTGTCAAAGGCCTATGACCTGGTGGATTGGGATTTCTTGTAGCAGGTGGTGGAAAAGTTAGGCTTCGCTCATTGGTGGGTACGATGGATAAAGACATGTGTTACCTCGGTGGGATATTCTGTTAAATTTAATGAAGCCATCTTTGATCCGTTTGCACCGACTCGTGGGCTTCGGCAAGGTGATTACCTATCCCCTTTTTGATTCCTATTATTGCTGATGGTCTCTCCACCTTACTCAGACAAGGGGTGCAGTCACCTCTCCAACCAGTGAAAATTTGCAGTCGAGCTTCAGAGGTGTCACACCCCCTCTCCGCTCCTTTTCTTCAAAGCTAATTCAGCACGAGTGCAGTATATAAGGGTGTCATAAACAGCAATGCAAGAGCCATGGGACAATTAATAAATCCCCACAAATGCTCTATTCAGTTTGGAGATAATTGCCCCATTGAGAAGCAAACCGAAGTCAGGTAAGAGTTACAAGTGCAAAGCTCACATTTTGAAGGGGAGTACCTTGGGATGCCCACTCTCGATGGCCGCATGAATAAAGGAAAATTTCAGATGTTGCAAGAGAGATTAACGAAATGTATCATTGCGTGGGTGACACTCTTTCCCAGGCGGGCAAGGAAACAATGATTAAGTCCATGGCACAACTATATAATGGGGTTTTGAATCTGCCATCTTCAGTCTGTGATGATCTATCTAGACTTGTGCGGAACTTTTGGTGGGGCTCCAAACATGGGAAAAGGAAGGCGCACTGGCTTGCTTGGGACAAAATGCTCAAACCGAAAGAGAAAGGAGGAATTGGGTTCCGAGCCTTCAGATTGTTTAATCAAGCTCTGCTTGCGTGGCAAGCCTGGCATCTCCTCATCAAGCCGGATTCTCTATGCACACAAATTATGAAGGCGAAATATTATCCTAACGGCAACCTCGAGGACACTCTTTTTACAGGTAACACTTCACCAACATCTCACGGCATCTAACATAGCCTGGACCTACTCAAGAAAGGGCTTCTGTGGCAGGTCGACAGTGACGAGAACATCCACATCTGGAGGGATCCTAGGCTACCACGGCCGATGTCCTATCGGCATATCTCTGTGCATGGGACTTTGCCGGCTACGGAGGGTAGCTGACTTGCTGGACGATGGCGTGGGGATGTACTCTGCCAATACTTTCGGTCGATGGGCGTGGACCGCATCTTGACGATAAAGCCCAGCCCGCATCAGCTTGACAATGTCCTCACCTGGGCCCATGATCTCTGTGGCCTCTTGATTGTAAGGAGTGCGTACAAGCTCGCCTTGGAGGAAAAAACTCACACCAATGTGTGCGCCACGAGCAAGGAACCGGACGACACATGTGCCGTCTAGAAGGCAGTGTTGGGTTGTCATGGTATGCTCATGGTAGATATCATGGGTAGGTTTATCGAACGTGGTTGGGGCCAAAGGACGTCGGTGGGTTCCGGAGGCGATATTGTGGACAAGCCGCGTGTGACACTCGATGTACCCAGGCTTTCCATGGGACACAACACCTCTAGTCCTGCCAGATCTACTAGATGGATCACAAGAGGGCTACAATCGTATCCTTGATCTTTGTTGGGTAGAGGAGGAACAAGTGCTAGCTCTCTACTTCTTCTTGTCTGTGTGTGACAAACGGGTGGAGTGGCAGAAGAGTCGACCCTCTGCATGGAGGGCTCCTAGGGGGTCTTATAGGCCTACCCTCCCAAGGTACAAGGGTAAATCTACATGGGCGTGGAGCGTTGGCATCTGTGTCTTCTCCTTCTCATGGGGCCCATCACCTGTGGGGCTCACTGATAGGGAACCACTATTGCACGTCGCCCACCACGTCACAATGCGGCTGGAACAACTCTAAGCCGCGCGGACGCCGGTGGCCTGGGTTAGCGTGGCGACACATACTGTTGCCATGCCTTCGGCGGTGGGTGGTGAGGGTGGTGCTGTTGCCATGCCCAACGGTTGCGGGGGAGCGGTCTTGTCGCGCGGCTGGATGGGCGGGCGCCTCCCCCTTGCATTGCCGCTTGCGCCATGCGGCCAGCACCTCCGTCTCGACCGTCCACGACCGAACCGGCATGAACGAGGGCACACGCACCCAACGGTGCCCATGGACGCTCTTAGGAGGTTGAATGGATTGGGTGGCGATGGGGCGGCGTACCTGGAGTGGGGCAGAGCAGGCAGCGCTCGGACCGGTGTTGTGCGTCGGGCGGGAGGGCACGACAACGTCGCCGGCACTGCGACGACGGGCGAAGGGCGACGGCGCATCTCCGTGAGCTCCCACCTCAGTTGCAACCCTGATCTAGACGGGAGCTGCGTAGAGCAATGCGGAGAGCGACCGCATCGACGTCGCTCTCGTCTCCATTGGAGCCGGAGCTAATGTGGTCATCCGCTATGGATCGGAGTGGAAGAGGAGAGGACAGATCGGGAAGAGGAGAGGACGGATTGGGAAGAGGAGAGGGTGGAGAAAGTAGAGTGGACTGATATCTAGGGTTCATCGGAGAGGAAATACATGGGTCCGGGTGGACTGGGCTAATGTGGTGGGTGTGCCCGGGCCGCCCCATATTTGGGCTGGATATCAGGGGTGCCGGTCAGCCCGGGAGTTTGTGCCCATTTAAGGCGTCCGGCTGGGTCACATTTTCGTGACCGGTCAGTGACCGGGTAGGCTGCCCGGGCATTTGATGCCAGTTTAAGGTGTCCGTCTGTAGATGCTCTGAGTGTGAAGATATTATGATGATGTGGATTAATGTGGTGCTTAGAAAAAATGTAGCGTGCTTCATATATACCCTTCTATTTCGACATTTAATGTGTATTAGTTTCTAAAAGTCCAACGTGTGTGTCTTTGACCAAGTTTCCAGAAAAATATCGATATTTTCAATATCAAATTTATATTATTTATGCCATGATGAAAATTACTTTTCATATTTTATCTATTATGTATTAATTGGAGATATTTATATTATCTTCCATAATCTAATCCAGGTGAAATATACAATCCTTCAACTTAAATGAAACTGATGCACCTTATATTTGGGAATGGTGGGAGTAAACAAACAGAATAATAGATAGATACTCCATCCGTCTCATAATATAAGAACGTTTTTAACACGCAAGTGTCAAAAACGATTTTATATTTTGCGATGGAGGGAGTAGTACATAATAGATATGACTTTGCTACACCTAAGGACAAATCCTTACAGGATTGTTCTTGAAGACTGACTAGTGAAACGATGATTGGAGAATAATAGCAGGTGGGTTCCACAAAAATGCTAGAAGTACGAAACCCTACAGGCTCTTACAGGCTCATTCCATCTAATTATACCTGCCCCCACTGAATTTCAGAGGGTGGGCTATCCCACCAACTAACACCCAATCACTGGGTGTGCCAAGTTGCACCCCTTTGTAAAATCTCCGTAAAATCCCATACATGTAGCTTTACTCGTGGGGTCCATTGGTGAGCAGCAGAGTAGTCCTGGCCATGAGAAGCCCGGCCCGGCCGGCCCGGCCCGGCCCGACGCTGCCCCCGGGCCGGGCTCGGGCCTAGTTTTTGAGCCCGAAGGCCAGGCCAGGCCGGGCCCGGGCATGTCATTTTTGCATTTTTCTGAAGGTCGGGCCGGGCCGGCCCGGAGCCCGACGGGCTTTTACGTGTTCGGGCCGGGCTCGGACCCAGAAACACAGGCCCGATTCAAGAAACCTTACGGGATTCCATAAGTGTATCATTTCTCTATAGATATATA